TTGTTGTTGAGTCCTACCTTTCTATCTCCTTTCAGGATCACTTCATGTTCTTGTCCATCCGATATTGAGTATTCAGTTTTGCCAAAGTCAGATGTTGAATTGTATGGTTTTATCATGTTCTGCATATGTCTCCAACTCGAAAAGTGACGTTCTCATATTGTGAGAATTTCTTCACTCCATTTCCTTTCTTTTTGTTTCACATGTCACTATATCATTGTTTTGAATCGAAAACTTCCTAGATAATGTCACTGACTGGTGAAATTGTGTCTTATATTGTTAGTAGACACATTTATTTCACAATTAGTATAAAAAAGTTAGGATATTTATCTTTCATAATTTCTTATTAATTCTTTTGTTTTTATATGGCGCTGATAATTATATACTCCTCAGTTATTTTGGGAATAAATTTAGAATTATGTATATGTGTAAGGTGTAAGGTATTGTAATAAAGGTGCACTGCATTGAGTTTTGTAAAACGAGAACACAAACATTCATTTTATAACCTACAAATAAAAACGTCAGGTGACCATTTGATCTGTATTGCTCGGATACGTGAACCCTTCTTTGCTATTCTCTTCGGCCGCATGGTTATGCCTGGTATCCCGGAGGGTGGTGAGTAAATATTGGATGTTCATTTCTCTAGACTTTCTCTGAAATATATCTGAAGAGTATTCGAAAGGTTTTTTCAAATTGTTTTTGAAAACTTAAGAAGTGATACGAACGTCGGAACGTTCTGAAGTAGGAATAGTGTAAGTAAGTGAGTTATGGAATTATGTTGTGGAATTGGCCGCGGTGGTAGTGCGCCCGACTCACGATCGGAAGACCGTGGGTTCGATTTCTGCCTCGACCAGATATTTTTCTCGAGATAATTTATTTGGTTAAAGCTGGGATGATTCTGCAAACGTGTTAGGAATCACACGTTGAAAGGTAAGACCTCGTTAGTCCTTAGCTCGTACAAGTTTCTCAACTTCTGAGAGTTGGGGGCGTATGGGGGCCACAACTGATTAGCGGAAAAACAGCTTTCAAAATAGGCAGAGAGAGAAATGAGTTATCATCTAACCAACTTTCAATTCTCTACAAACTTACCGTCAAACAATTTACCGCCTACATACATGACGATTTACAGTTATTTAATAATTATTATAGGAAGTCAACCAAATCATATATTTCGATTCGTGAAAACATTCCCAACAACAAAGCTCATATCACCTTTCTTCCTGAAGTTGAAAATGAGCGACGTATGTGGAAATATTTATTTCACTAGTACAAACATTTTTTTTGTTTTGGCAAATAAAACCTCATGATTGTCAAAACACCCAATTTTGTTACTTATGCGAATGACCATATTTTGATACCGAGATTGAAACTCGTGATCATCATGTCGTACGACTCCCATGACACCACTGAGCTATTTGGTATTGATTTACAAAACGATAATTTCCATCTCAAAGCCATTCCACTTGCCGTATTCATTTCGTAAATCAAAATATGTCTGCTATAATGATAAATTGAAGCCGTTTTTGTGTAGAACAGAAAATACTGGAGCGTCATATTGATGCGGTTGGAAAACATATTCATTATGAGTAATCAAGTTGCCTTTAAACTTTGTTGAAATACTATTTTTTAAATATTCTCATCCCATCAAGAAATATGTAATATCTTAGAATCCTATTTGGTTTGCCAGAAAATAGCGTTAGAGCACTCCAACACTTCAATAATTCGTTTCCCGATCGTGAATTATCTAATCGGCGTTTTTTTGTTGTGATTCATTATCATTTCAGGAATAATGAACGAGTTTTTGAGAAGAGAAGAACTAAAACACGTTTTGTAATATCTGAAGATAAAGAAATTGATGTTTTAATCTACTTTGAGGTAAATCCAAATGATTCCATCAGAGATTTATCTAGAGAAATAGGTGATCCACCGTTTTTTATTTAACGAATTCTGAAGGAACATAAGATTTCTCCTTATGAGTTAAGACTAGTGCAAACAGTAGAACCTGGTGACCCTGAGAGACGATTGGGGTTTTGTCGGTGGTTACAAATAAGTGCATACGAAATCCAAACTTCTATAGAGATATTATATGGAGCGATGAGGCTAATTTTTCAAATTATGGAATGTATAATGGCAAGAATTTTCATTATTGGAGTAGACATAATCCATTTCTAATCCGTCCCAACAATCCGCAAAATTAGTATCAATGTTTGGTGTGGTCTATTTAGAGGCAGAATTATCGGTCCATTTTTCTACCATTTTTCTATCAGTATCATGTAAAGAATGTTGCGAGACTGTTTCGGAAACAGATGGATTGCTACAAATGTTCCTGTTGTGTGGTCTCCTCGTTCACCAGAAATGACACCTCTAGATTTTCATTTTTGGGGATTTCTGAAAAATGAGATGTACAAAATAAAACATAATGTAGATGAACTGAAAAATTATATTGAAACTATAATTAAAACAATTGATGATTGAATTGTGTTGAAAGCAACACGTAGTGTCAAGAGCCCAAATATGTGTTCAACGAGAAGGCGGTGTTTTTGAATATTTACTCGATATTTTAAAGCTCTTTATTCGCCAAAACGAAGAAATTTTTCGTACTAGTGGAAGATGATATGAGCTTTGTTGTTGAGAGTGTTATCACGAATCGAAATGCATCATAAAATATGCAACGCAACATATACGTTATCATAGCATGATAACGTTATGCGTGGGTACCCAAATAAACTCAGTGGAACAAGAAAGCAAGAGAACGACTATAGACGAAGAAATAGGCAGTGGCGTAGATAAAGGTCTAATATCAAAAAGTATGAATACTCCTAACAAGGAGATGCAGACAAATCTCAATGCTCGACCATATGACACTTCTGCAATATGAAAGGACAGGGACAGCAAGAAGAAGTTGAAGAAGAAAAGGAAAGTGTTGCTGGTCTCTGGACGTAATGGAAATAATCTTGTGAGATTTCTTTTCAATCACAAAGGACAATCACCAAACAATACAGTCAATTATCAAGCCTCACGCTGCATACAAAACATTATTGTATACAACAAGAAAAAACGCTGAAAACTTCCCAAAAATGGCTTTGTAATCTTCTGGCCAGATACAAGTGAAAGAAATCCAATTCATGAAATCACGACTGGACTACCAAATAATAATCTGTCTGTCTGATTAAAATCTATTTTTCCGTTAATCAGATGTCGCTCCTATACGAAAGACAACTCTCAGAAGTTGAGAAACTTGTGCGAGCAAAGGACTAACGAGGTCTTACCTTTCAACGTGTGATTCCTAAAACCTTAATAGTCACTGAATCATATATTCATAATGTCTAAAATCACAATGAATTCATACATCAAAAGAATTTATCCCTTGTCAAAAACCTGAATACTAATAGAAATCGAAATATGAACGGTTTTGAATGCAATAACAACCTAGAAAGATCATGCTACAGCTACAACAGAAAAAGCACCATTAACAATCCGGGAAAATAAGCTATCAGTAAATTTCTTTTGAATTTCGTTGAAACCTAGGAGGGAACAACTGAATATAAATATATGAGGCATCGTGTAGAAGAATGTTATGAGGAAAACGTGACGCTTGACAATCCTCAAAAGATAACGCTGGAAAGAAAGTTAATGATAACAAAGTTCAGCAAAATAGTTCATCTGAATTTAATTTTTCATACGCAAATTACAATGGATAATTGACGCATAATTAATCGATCGACATAGACAATTATTTTCGAAAAAAGTCAGCTGTGAAAAATATTACAAATTAACTTGTTTTGTTCTCAATATCCAATCAGTTAGAAAGAAAGTCGATTAATTATAGTTATTAATAGAACAGAAAAAAAGTTTTATACTAGTAACAAAACAGTGGCTAAGTATAAAGTTATCTCAATTTTCTGCAGAAAAAACTTGTTTCATGGGGAAACTGCCGTCCTAGTTCATGACTCAGACAAGCTACTTTTTGAAGCTGTATATTTTGAGGGCTTACTTGAGGAAAAAAATTTGAATTATCTGTAACTTATATCAAGAAACTCAAAAATTATCTTATGTGTTTATATAGGTACCATTCAAGTAGTATTTCTGTCTTCCTCACAAAATTGGATACTCTATTATTTAAAATTCCTCCTGTTGGTAATATTGTTTTGGCTGGAGATTTCAACTTGAATTTTGAAGAAACACAAAATAGTTCTCACATGATACAATTCAAGGATGCATGCCACTGAAATGACACGAATTAGTAAATATTCGGAATCTTTGATTGATTACTTTCATACTTCCTTAGAAGAGAATGATGTTTTGTGTAAAGTTGAACACGCCAATCTGTCAGATCATCAAGCTGTCACTGCACANTAGGGGGATTGTTTCACCCATTGGTGTTCCTACAATTTGTTTGTAATTGATTTTAGCCAATGAGAAAATAAATTTGAATCAGAAATAAATTCAGTTATTTCAAAAAAAATTTGGTGATTTGTCAATTCTGTTCTATTTCATTCAATTTCTTCTTCATTTCATTTTCATATAGTTCTAAAACAATGTTACTGAAAAGAGAGACATCAAATTATAAGAAAGCCATATTTCTTCATGCCTCACATCATTTTCAGAAATAATCAACCTATACTTATTCTAAAAATTTCTGATTTTGATTCGACTCTTCAAAAGGTCCATAGTAATTTTGTAAACTACACATTACGATTTGATCTTTACAAACTTTGTTTGAGAAGATCAAATCGTGAGGTGTGGTTTATGAAATTATTCTGAAAATATTAGAAAATATCATTCATTCCCTTAATTTTGAATACAGATTCTTCTCGTTTCATTTGATTCGCTTCAGAATGAAATAAATATATCAGACTCTTGACGTATATACGAAAACATTAGGAGTGTTCAGTTGAGAAAAAATAAAGGAGCATGACTATGATATAATCGTTTATTCAGGAAACGTGTTTCCAGTTGAATCAAGCATTATATATACATTTGTCTCAAAAACTGTAACTTACCCCTGATTCACAATTTCTCTCCTCAATACATTCTTCTGTTCGAATTAGTTCAACATCAGGACAAACAGCTTCATTTTTTGGATATTTCAACTTCCTTTCTTTAATTCTAACTCCTGTTCCGCAAGAAGAACTACAGCTAGACCAGTCGGACCATTCTTCTACTTCACAATTGGCCTCATCTGTTGGTAAAACACTGTGATCAGTAGAACTATTGCTTTCTTCGTCAATAACACTGAAACAGGGCTTTTCATAGATCCTCTGTCTTGTGAAATGAAGCTTTGCAATTGGATTCATCGGTTCACCATCTTCACTGTAGAATGGTGATCTTGGATCATTAGGATTGTTAGGTGTTATTGGAGCTATTTCTTTCTGTTTATATAATGGCACTGATGACTGAAATAAAAATGTCCTGTTGAAGTATTGGCTTCATCACATCCATCTGTAATATGGTATTATACGATGTATCAAACAAGTCGATAAGGAAGAGACAGTTATTTGTGAGTGAATATATTTGATAGAGGGTGATATGAAAAATGAGTTTGGAAGCGTTATAAGAGAAGCTACGAGCGGAAATAGGAGTCGAATGTTTACTTATCGTTAGTGAACATTCTTCTCACATAATGCTGCTAAATGATTTCATGGTCTTTCCAGTGAGGATAGACACTATAGAGTTGATTAAAAATAGATTGAACTGCTCTTTCTCATTCGTTTATTGTCTTATGTCGTAGTTTTCTGCAAATCTCTAACATATAAAATTTTGATTTGTATCAAATATAATATGGTAATAATAATAATATTCATTCAGGTAGATCATCTATAGATTGATTATGACAAAACGTTGTACAAATATAAAATTAAAAATAAAAACTCCGTGCACTCAAAGGCACACTGTACAATTTACATAGATAATATAATAATCATAGTCAAAACCTAAAATAATCTGCTATTTGTGCAACATCATCGTTTTTTAAATCGGACTAAAATGTTGGACATGTACATACTATATAATAGTCAACACCAAAAATAATCTTTTATTTATGTCACATACGTACAGGGTCATAAGTTATCATCCATATATTCTTTGAGAGAATAATAGGATTTATCCAGGAGCAACTCTTTGTTTTGATAGTTATACTGTTTCAGAGCCAGATTTTTAATGGTACTTGGAAGTTTATTGTACAATTTGATTGTCATAAGCCTGGGACATGATTCAGATACAAGTAATCTGTGTGTTGGCACATATTACCATTAAGAGTAGGAAAACTGGTTATGTGCGATTTCATATATTTTAATATCTCATAAATGTATATACTTGTAACAGTCAATATTCTGAGATTTTGGAAGATGAGTTTGCAACTTGTCCTTATAGTAACTCCTGCTATATACCTTATGGTTCTTTTTTGAATTTTGAGTATTCTGGAACAATTACTGGATACTCCCCAATCTATAATACCATAGGAAATATTACAATGAAAGTATGCATGGTAGTATATCGATAAGAGTGATCTATTTACATTCCAGCGTAGTTGGTGAATACAATTAGATATTGAGGATATCTTTTTACAAATCGTATCAATATACTTGTTCCATTTGAGATTTTCTGTTATCTTCAAACTCAAAAATTTTGTCTCCTCTTGTTGTTTAATTGATCCATTAATTGACTTAACTAGTAAACTGTGATCTGGAGTGGTTCTTGAATGAACAGTTTTCTTTCATTTACAAGAGACCATTGCCTGAGAACCACTTTTGGGTTCTTTTTATTTCATCAGTGGCTTGATTAAGTGTGGCTTTATATTTTAACAATATTTATATTCCGGACGCGGATGTCACGCAGATAGCTATAGCTGCATACGTGGTCAAGTTGGTTGTTGCCTATAAATGATAGGTATCCTAACTGAAACCACAAATTTGCGGGTGGCTTTGTACATATGTGTATTTTTCGGCAAACAAGCTTACTCCATGCCTTTCTACGATATTGTAGGGTCGTGTAGGTAACAAACAAAAAGTAGCCTGTGGAGTTATTTATCGCCCACCAGGAACAAATGTAGAGGACTGTATGCAGGAGTTAGCTGATGTACAGGAACGAGTGTATTTGAAAACATCTATTGTGGTGTTAGTTGGTGATATTAATATTAATTTGTTAAACTGTGACTCTCGCGACACTCAACGATTCACTGCCCTAGTTTCTTGTTTCGATATGAATCAAATTGTAGAAAATTCTACTCGGATAACAACAACTTCTGAATTTCTGATTGATGTCATTTGCATTAGTGAGGAAGTAATGGTAAGAAATTGTAATACACTTGATATGAATGGTATAACTGATCACCTGATGGTATTTTGCGATATCGATTTCGAAGGTAAAGATACTTATGATAACTTAATTTGTTTTAAAAATTTCAAGAATTTCAAGCATGAATTTTTTTCTCAAGATGTTGCTAACTTGCCATGGGGTGATATTGTGACTATGAAAAATATTAATTCCAAAGTAAATTTTCTCAACGAATGTATCATTATGCTTTTTGACAAACATGCTTCAAGTTGCACTGTAAACAGAAAACATAAAGCATCCCCGTATATAACTTATAATATCAAATTAATGATGAAAACCCGTGATAGAGCTCATGCCAAATATCTTAAAGAAAAGACAGCAGCCGCTAGACAGTACGATGTAACTTCACGTATCAATCACGCAATAAAACGTGAAAAAACAGCATATTTACAATTTGTTTTGGACAAAAATAAAAACAATTCAAAAATGTCATGGAGAAAAAATCAAATTGATGATGAAAACCCGTGATAGAGCTCATGCCAAATATCTTAAAGAAAAGACAGCAGCCGCTAGACAGTACTATGTAACTTTACGTATCAATGACGCAATAAAACTTGAAAAAACAGCATATTTACAATTTGTTTTGGACAAAAATAAAAACAATTCAAAAATGTCATGGAGAATCTTGCAGTATGGGGTGTTACTACAAAATCATCCTCGCAAACCAATAGCCTGCCAATTGAACTACGTAGACCTGAAGAAATCAATGACTATTTTTTAAACGTGGATGGACATTCAATAGTAAATGATTACACTCTTTCATTCTACGATAATAATAAATTGAACGCTCCTATGAACTTTTCTCTCACCGATATATATGATGATGATATTTTGACTGCTATCAAAGAAATAAAATCTAATGGTTTAGGTATTGACACTATAAATATCAAGATGATTTCTTTAGTGATACCACACTGTATTGATGAAGTTGAACATATTTTCAACGAGGCCTTCAGACAGGGTATCTTTCCAGATGTTTGGAAGGTTGCTAATATAATTCCAATTCCGAAAAAGAATGCACCTACCACGTTCAATGACCTAAGCCCTATCAGAATTCTGTCCTCATTCTCTAAAATATTCTAGAAAAATGTTTCCCGTCAAATAAGAGCTTTTCTTGAAGAAAATCGAATACTGTCGTACGAGCAGTCTGGGTTTCGCAAAAAACATGGAACACAGACTGCTCTCTCGAAAGTAATCGACGATCTTGCCACCATTTCAGTAAAGCTTGATCAAAGTAAAGCTTTCGATTTAGTTAATTTCGATATACTCATCAGCAAGCTCAAGTTTATAGGATTCGATGACATTTCTCTTGAATGGATGACCAGCTATCTCACAGGCCGATCACAAAGGGTCAAACTGGATGATTACTCATGGTCATCCCTAAAAGAAACAGTCTCAGATGTACCGCAGGGAAGTATTTAAGGACCCTTGATGTTTTCATTGTTTATTTTTGATTACCCCACTTTCTTATCGCATTGTCAAGTACATCTATACGCAGATGATATACAACTATATTTGTCTTCTCATAACACCGATACAGAAAGTTGCGTGGCCAATATAAACACAGATTTGCACAAAACATTACTATACCCGGAGAATCATGGACTGAAAATCAATTCAAATAAAACTTTGGCCTTATGCATAGGGTCTCAAAGACAAATAGTAGAAACTCAGTGCAACTTTAGGCTCACTCTCGATAACGCAGACATTGACTGGGTAGACAGTGCTAAAAATCTTGGCGTTACCATAGATAGCTCTTTGTCTTTCCACGAACATGTGACAAACATTTTCAAAGTATCATTCTTCAAACTCGAATCGCTATATAAATTCAAGTATCAGTTATCAGAAGAAATGAAACTCAGGTTAGTTAAAACTCTCATTTACCACCATATTGAGTATTGTTGTTCGGTGTATTACAATTTTTTGCCTCAATACAACAAACAGAAGTTACAACGTATACAAAATGCCTGCATGCAATTCGTATGCTGTAGATGTCACACCATTTTTGTTAAAAATGAAGGAGCTGAATATGAGGTACAGAGTACAATATTTGATAAAAATGTTTTTGTTTAAGTTGCTTCAAACTAAAACACCTAGTTTTTTATATAGTTTACTAAGGAGGCATTCTGACATACATATGGTCAATTTGGGAATTAACTCATTCAACATACCTAGACACCGTACTTTCAAATTTCAAGGATGTTTTTCTTATATGGCCCCTTCTCCTATCTGAATGAAATTTTACCCCTTTTAAATCATAATATTCATCAATTTAAGAAAGAAATAAAATCACAGATACTTACTGCTCAGTGCTAATTTAAAATATTTAAAATCCAATGTACGGTAGTGCAATGAAATTGTTAAATTGTCCAAAATAATATTAAGAAAATTAAGAGTTATTAGCAACTAGATGTATTATTTTTTCTCTTCTCTATCATTGTATTGATACTAAATAAGTATGTTTATAATTATTTTCTCATACTCACTTATACCCTTTTTCTTTCATGTATGGATGTATTTTTATGCATAATAAACGATATTATTACTATTATTATTTTATTGATGTAAGTCACAAAAAAGATTTGAAGCTTTATAACTTCTATTTAATTTTATGCAAGCCAGCTGTCGAAAGCGCTCGCATATAATTAAACAATATATATATATATATGATGTGTTGTTTTTCCGGGTGTTCATCCGTTGTGTACTATTCGATAGTCGACACGTTTCGACATCATCTCAGATGGCATTATCAAGACGTGTTACTGCTTCGCTTCGAGAGGTGTTACACCTCTCGAAGTCTAGTCCACGTGACTAGTTGTTCCTAACGAACACTAATCTTCTCTAGCATGTGTTGTACATCATTGTTGGAGATGAAAATTCTGTTTCTTGTGTACAACGTGTCGATATAAAAATAAAATGTAGTTATAATAAGAGAATCGTTACAAAACAAAAATATCTCAATAACAAATACTTCGAAAACCCATTTTTTTAGTTATTTTCACTTAACAACTAAGTCAATTCTTCTCACATACGAATAAACAAAAATAGTACAGGAGTCAAATGTTGGAGGGTCTTAATAATAATGCTGCGATGGTGATAAAAATGTTTTTCCTTCCTGAATCATCAATAGAAAATAGAATTTCAATTAAAATAAATTGTATTTTTTTAATAAAGCAAAACTTGATACATCGAATGTACCTTTGTAGAGTACCATCCATCGAAGAACATTTTTTGAGAGCTTTTAGATGAGGTATCACAAGTAGGAGGTTGTCATTTAAGAAAATAAAGTTGTGGGTGCTGGGGGCGAGGGGGTGGGTGAAAATAAGTTGTTTTTCCCTCCCTATTGTGGAGATTATTTTAAGCGAATTTTCATTTTTCTTCTGGTTGCTCAGATATAGCCATTGTAAGTTTTCAAATTTTCATCCTATATATGAAATATCTATTGACTCCAGATCGAACACCGTGACAACAGAAATGGGGGCTGGACATGAAAGTCCAAGTTTATGGATGTTGTACGCCGTGGGAAAACCACACTGTTAGAGGTTTTCCATATAAATCCTTTCGGTAGTCTTTCGAGTGATTATTATAGTGACCGCAATGGGGAATGTTCCCCCTGATAAAAATCAAGTAGTTTTCATAAAAGAGCTCTAAAACAACGCATTTTAAACGTATCATTTCAACCTTTTTCTTTACAAAATTATTTAAATACTCAAAAAAGAGGAATGAAATAATGCATTCAACATTTAAAGGGATTCGTTTCTATTTCACCATTTGGCAACATCGGTTATAATAAAGGACAATGAATCTGTTACCTGTATGCGACAAACAAAGATCACATATTTCAGAGGCGTGCTGTTCTGTTTACTGTTCCGAGTTCCGAGACATTCTGCGACATATGATATTTTGTGCAACTTACCTATCTTCCTCTAAATAAATAACAAAACAACTGTTGTTTATGTGGCTTGTGGATATATAATATATTTAACTATATTATGTGTAATTTCAATCTTGTTAGTACTGATTTCATGAAATTTGAATTTCAACAATAAATCAACATAATTTTGAAAATACCTACCGAGTATTCTAATCCATCATTTGTTCCGACGTCTATTGGGTACAAGTTATATGTATACGATTCCTCCCACGTACAATCCTCTTTACATAACTCGAAATTTGAAACTCCAACAATCCAATCCGGGGATGGAATTATTTTAGTTACCAATGACACCAGATGATTTTTATTGTCAACTCGAAAAACAGCAAAAGACGATTGAGTTATATTGGGATATCCTAAGCCCCTGGCTTTTATGATTGTTCTGATATTTTCACCCTGAAAAAATAGATTGGATAATTTCATAGACATCATGTCAAAAATTGATCACTGACGATGAGGTATGGACCTGGACTATCTGACGATCAAAGAATGTTAACAGTGATATGTTTCGATGTTAATGAGGACCTCTAACTATCGATTAGAACGACTGCGCGAGAGAACAAGCTCTTAGGATTGTTATTCAAATATTCAATAATTAGGAAAGCATCAAACAATTTTCAATTTTCAGTCTGAACGGATGTATCAGAAGGTATCCATTATAGACTGTAAAACGAAAACCAGCTCTCAGTGAAGCTCACAAAAAATGATGAATCCCGCAAGTAAAAGCTGTAAGCTATAAGCAATCGATTTCAATATTGAAACCCTAATTTTTTTGATAAGATAAAATTATACAATTCAGAAGAAGTTGGAGATTTCTTTCAGTATGGGTTAGATAACTCATTCCAAAAAATGAAACTTCCTATGTTTTTATACCACTTCTATTCGTAAATAACGTTACTGCAGTTTCCTCCTGTATTCGTTTGAAAATCTCTTTGTAGGACGGAACTGCAGTAATAATAGCGGGGATTTTGGGATTTACTAAAGCACGGCAGGTTAATATATAGGGGGATACCTTGTACCCGGTTGAGTACCCCCACCAAATATGAGCCCCATATAAGGCCGCCCGTGAAGGATAAAGGATCAGATTAGTAAAAAAAACTTGATCATCAGAAATTCTCGAGCGCATCAGATTAAGGTAAGGTGAGCTAATTACATGCTGAAAAGTGTGTATTCCAGTAATCTGACAATTTGAGAGTGACGTAAAGGAAGGGGGGGGCAGCAAAGTTGTAAAAAATAACCTCATTTCGACATTCTCGAGCGTAGCTGAATGTTTTTTTATTTTGAAGAAAATGATTCAAGGATAACGAAAAATATATAATATGACGATTTCCGTAAGCCGAAATGACAAAAATTCGTCGATAAAGTTCAATGCGTGCAGCTGTATGATACCTATATTTCCCTCTCCGAGTTTCTATTCCTCTTTCACTTTTTCTCTATCTATTACTCTCTCACTCCGTCCCCACTCTGAATTCTGTTGCCATGACGCCATCACTGCTGATCACAGAGACTCGTTCGTGATGAAGATGATGATTAATTTTTTAACTGTCTTAAAAAATTATTTTCTTATAAATACAAGTATTCTACACTTATTTATTTGCATGATATTTCTTGAGCTTCTCAATTATTTAAGTTCAATGATTTGAAAAATATTTTTTGTGTCAGATTAGGCGAATCCCTCTAGATAATTAGAGATTATGAGACAGTACGTCTAGAACATTGAGATGAACCATATATATCTCAATTTGACGCGCTTGAGTATTTCAAAAAGACGATTTTTTTTGCACATAATCGTCAGATTATTGAATGAGGGCTTTTTTTTGTTGTACTTAACACCCCCTTAGAAAATATGACGCGCTAGATTAAATTTTTTTTCTTTTCACTTTTAACCCTTACGTACAACCACCCGCATCATGCAAACGATCAGATTAACATACGAACATTATCAAGAATACGTAGGACATTGATACCGTCAATATCTGACGCGTTCGAGTATGTCCATGCAACAGTATTTTTTACATATTCAAAAATCTATAGCCGCTTTCCCCACCGATTGAAAGTTATATTTTATGTGACATTTTTTTCTTCTTATCATCTAAGCTTTGCAACCTAATATGTCTTTATGACGCTCGAATAAATTCCCATTTTGCATCGTGGGCTCCCCTGCTATAACGTTAGTTACGAATACAAATGATGTGAAAACATAGGAAGTTTTAATTTTCATTTTTATCTCTTACCACGGAGTAACGGCTACATTCATCAATTTATTGAATGAATATATTTTATGTCAATAAATGGTGTGTCAAGATAGTTATTTCTTTCGATACTTGAATCGAAGTGTGTCTTCCACCCATATTTTGAAACTGTATTTGTGATCACATTCATATTAAATAAAACAAACCTAATATTGGTATGAAAATTAAACATCGAAGTAGTTCAATTGTACAGAAATATAATTTGGATATTTTATGTTTTTGCAAAACCCTACTTTGAGAGGAAATAGTTGGTAGCTTGAATTGTGGGTTACTGAATATAAACTGTATAGGAATGATATCGAGTGGCGACCAAAACATCACTTATACAAGAACTATGGATGAATTTCAAAAAGAAAGATGAAAATGTGCCGTTAGCGTTTTTAACATTTTCTGAGAAACGTTTTTCTGAAGTTTCAGTTAATTCAACCGTGCTAAAAATCGTTTGTTGGAAAGTAATCCCTCGTTCATCTTCAGCTTCTACATGTTTCGTTGTTTAAGGGTTGTAGTTCGTATTGGGGTGACAGCTGGTTAACGGAGAAATATATTTCAAATAGGTTTATTTAAATCACATTCTCTGTATACTTTTTTATTAATTTTGAAAGCATTGAATCCATCTCAAATAACCGATTTGCCGACGAATATAACGAAAACAACACACTTAGTATTTCCAAAACAGCAAAAAAATCAGCACTTCTGGAAGAAGAAGTCAATGAGAAACTTCATCCCTACAGCAATTTTGACGTGGAGAAAGTTCATAATAACTTGAAGCAAAACATATATGATGAAAGATTAAACTGAGTTTAATCTTCTTCTTGAGGATGATCACTTGGTGATCATCCTCGATACGTGTCGAGGTGTTAAAATAACGGTTTGGTGTTGGGATAAAACTCCAGTGATATACAGTTTGCAATGTTGTTGAAGGAGATTCCATGTATCGGCTTATCCTCGTGTAACCGCAGGAGTAGAGTAATCTATGCGGTTTGTACGCAGGCCTTTTGGCGAATGAGTTTCGAGTCGTTGGCAGAATTGTGAAAAAATGTTCAGAAGTTCACTTCTTTTTTGTTGTTGGGGGAAAAATAACTGTGAAATGGACGATTTGTGATGCTAGCTCTTTTAGAGATGTATGCGTTTTCGAGCACCTCTCCACTCAACCACTCCTTAGGAGTAGAGTAATTTCGAAATAGCAAGCATATTTTTAAGAGCAACTCAGTTCTCCTCCGACATATTTTTGTGCTTGTGCTGATATTCTTCACTCAGAGTGTTCTTCATAGAAGTAACACCTCGTGAGTGGCTTTGTTCCACCCCAATATAATTTTTATACCTCTCCCTGGCATCCAGCTAGTGGAAGATGATTTTCGCTACGAACTGCACTCTTCATAATTCGCGCATTATCCTCTATTGAGATGGATCATTGCATATTTTTCTATTCTGAGTTCTATATCGATGGCGTGCCTGCTAATTTCCACCACTCTTGAGGACTACTAGAGATCGTGTTCTCCGGATTCCTCGACTGCCACTGTTGTACCTTTGAGCTTATCTTAGTGCAACGGTTGAAGTTTATAGTGTGAAGCAGATGAAAAAGTGGCTGGAGGAATCGCCATGAAATAAACCCCTTCATGAAGTGACTTGCTTTGTTTGGAATCTAGCCTGACCTTATGTTGAAGTGATTAGAGTCATTTAGATCTGTATCAGTTATTCTACTAACATTTCGAGTACCGGAAGGCATTTAAGCAAATGCAAGATGAGCATTACCTCACGGTAATTCATTAGACCATAGGATCGTTGTTGATACTGTACCCATCAATGAGCAGGTTTTTCTTACAGCCAGCAACTTTTGATTTATGACCCTCATTGCTTCTGTTATCTGTTTGGATAATCAGTTAATTGTAGAGAGTATTCCTGTCCATAATATAGTGGTAAATATTATATACCTCTATTTCAACACATTATAGATCCGTTATTTTTGAATTTCGACAGGTATATTAAAACGGTCTGCTTTTTGACGAATCAATCCAGAATCTCGTCATGATTTGGAAACTCTGACCAGATGATCGTGGGACCTCAGTAGGTTTTTCACTGGAGCAGGGTCAAACACAACAAATTATGTAGAATCCCTGAGAGTTCTTAGAACATCAATCAGGATTACCATCGGGTTCCAGATAATCGAAGCTCACTATAGAAGACTCCGTATTACGGTGGGTTGCGATATGTGTTGTATGGATGCGGATTTTCACGAATGTTCCAGAATAATTCCATTTGATAAGCGGTCTGTGGATTATCCAAGATACACGAAGGCTCTAGGGACAAGCCAACTAGAAATTTTCTTGTGATCTATCTTGATAAATCTTCTAATAAAGAAACATCAACTATCAGATAGTATCGAAGCATTCTGTTACGAAAAAGAGCCAATATCAGTCTGAATTGTTTTTCCAATGGAATATTATATCCCTATTTGAATTGAAGAACTAACACTGTTCTCCATGATGTATGTTCCTCAATATTGCACATTTTTGGAGTACCATAAGAATCCAACGTGGGGTCGTCACTTTTCCTGATATTCATAAAAAAACCTCACATTAGAGCTCTAAATTTTACTTTCTCTAGATGACATAAAGATATTTCTATCTATTATTTGATAATGATAGGAGCTAGGTGCGAGTATATCTATATCTCATTTACACATTAGAGAGAATAAATATAACTTGAGTATGGATATAAAAAAAAAGTCACTTTTACACTCGAAATATTTATGAGAGGTTCTTTACCTAATCAGTGGTGCAAAAATCTCGAGAGAATACTCGATCAGAGTTTTCAATTTGACAGTAGATTAACATTTATAGATCTCATCAATCCACTCAATCTTCTCAATGTCAAAGATAGAGTGGAAAAGATGGAGAAATCTGGAGTTTACAAGCTCTAGTGTCCGAAGTGTTCATGTGGGACAATGTGGCCGAAATTTCTCAAAAGGGTTTGCTGAACATGAAAGGTCATTCAGACCAGGTGAAAATGATTCTGCGTTTTCAAACCATTCTTTAGAATGCAACCACAAGTTTCCGAATCTGAACAATAGGAAACTTTTGAACTATGCAAGCAAGGGTTGTAAACTCAATTAGGTATTTGGAAATGTATAAATATGAACAAAGTGAATGTAACCTACTAAATGACCTAATTGACCTGGTTCACTCACCGGGTTTCAGATTGTCGTAAACACATTGTCAAAGGTAAACAAAATATAGGCAAAAATGTCATTAAGTACCGTCTTTTACCATGAATATAAGGGTGTATTGTTGATTATTTCAGTCTATTGTAATCGTTTGGAAATGTTCTTGTAGCAGGTAACTGCAATAACGCTAGTTATAAATACATGTTGTTTAGACACTTAATTTTTTTGTAAATATTAATTTCAGTTTCGGCAACACCGCTGGGAGTTTGAAAATAGTTGAAAGTAGTACAATAAAAATTACAGTTCGGAACGGAATCGAAAGAGAAAAAACATAGAGAAGGTACTCGTCGGTGATGTTATCGTATCGGGTAAACAGTGAATTGTTATTTGAGTTCCAAGACGTTTCTTTATTAGCACTGCTTCTCCTAAACCTCCTTGATCCCATCCTTATTTGTAACCTTATTTTTTCCGAAAGGAGTTTGGATCTAAATAGCCGAAACGAGAAATTGGTAAGTCTCAATCATGTTTAACTATCACTGAGTTATTATTCGGTGCATTCTGTGTTGGAGGGTCTTATATCCATTACAGAACACATCTAGTCTAGTTACAAGACAGCAATGAAAACGCTGATGTCGCTTATGAGACAACATAGGTTTTCAACACTCTTCTTTTTTTCATTTCTGACACAAAAAACTAAGCTCAGCACAATTTCGAGTACAAAAAATGATATAATAACTATATATTTTCTTCAAATAGACCTTCACAACAATATTCATGTTTTTCTCTAGAAACACTCTTTGTCAAAAATCGGCCAATATTTCTTAAGTAGAAACATGACTGAGATCAATAACACCATCAATGATTTGTTGTCGAAAGAAATGGTATCGTATATGTATGTATATATTTTGTGCGTGTACTCAAAAGATACTTTTTTGCTAATGAAATTGCACTGTTATTGTCACAGAAAAAAATATGCCTTTGGTTAGTATCAAATTTTCACATCAACCTATTCCATCAATCATATCATGAAATGATATAAATATAATGCTTCACTAAAGGCATCATTCAATGAAATATATTTGGCCCCAGTTGAGGAGCGAGCGACAATTTGTTGAATTTCACTAGTTCGGACTTCCATTGTCTACTATATAAAATGATTTGAAATCCCCGAAACAACTGAAAAATGAAGAATCAAAAATGAATAGCTGAAAATAACAATTATATTAACCAAAATGAACTTGAAATGAAATAATAGTGAAATAAAATACAAGTAAAAATAGAACAATTGAATAAATAAAAATAAAGAAATGAAAAAAGAAAATAAAAATAAAAAGTGGAGAGATTCCAAGTCACGTTAGTTCACGACGTTTCGATTGTTAGTATCTACAATCGTCTTCGGGTGATGACTGGACTGATTCTTTCGAAAGATGACTATTTATAGGTCGTTCGAGTACTTTTACTTATCCCCGCTTTCCATTTTCCGCTTCATTGGTTCCGTGAGAGATGACCGTTTTGGCGGGAGTTGGCTATTTTTCACTTGATGATGGGTTTCCATATGTTGCGTATTTCTACGCAGGATTGGCTGAATACGTTGTTGGACAACATGTATGCGGCTTCCTTGAATTTTCTCCTGAACCAATGTTCCTCGCTGTGCAAGATCTCAGCTTGGGACCACTCGATGTTGTGTTGATGGGTCCAAACATGGTCTGCTATTCCTGATTTGCTGGTTTCCCCTCACTGTGTGTGTTTCTTGTGCTCGGCAATGCGAATATTCAATGGCCTCTTAGTTTCACCAATATAGGTTTTTCCGCACTCACAGGGTATCCGGTAAATGCAATTCTTGGAATCGCAGTCCGCGTTTGGTGGCCTGGTTTTCGTGAGGCTGCTACGGATAGTGTTACCGGATCTGAAGCAGGTTCTGATGTTGTACTTGGAACCAATTCTTCTTATCCTCTCCGATAATCATCTGATGTAGGGAAGTGCAAGCACTGGTTGTGATGGCTTCTCTTCCTTGCGAAGCTCCCGCTGTCTTGTAGCCAAAGTCTTTTCTCCATCGCTTCAGAGTAGCCATTCCGTTGAAGATCATTTTTGATGATGTCTAGTTCCTTTTCGAGACCTTCCTTCGTATTACAGAGCCCAAAAGCACGGTCTAATAGAGTCTTGATGATTCCTCTTTCAGTGATTGATTTTATTTTCTTTTTTCATTTCTTTATTTTTATTTATTCAATTGTTCTATTTTTACTTGTATTTTGTTTCACTATTATTTCACTTCAGGTTTATTTTGGTTAATATAATTGTTATTTTCAGCTATTCATTTACAATTCTTCTTTTTTTACGTTGTTTCAGGAATTTGAAATCATTATATATATAGTAGACAATGGAAGTCCAAACTAGTGAAATTCATCATGAAACATTGTCAATCACCTTCAAACAGACAATTTGTTGCTTTCTACTGTCCAGAATATAGTTCTCAATAGTTTCAGATCATTTATCCAGTCAGCATAAACAAAACATTTCAAAGGCCACTTAATTTTTCAAATTAGGCGTTGATGTACGGTCCCCTTTAAGTAGCGAAGTACAAGTTTTGTTGCCATCCAATGAGTTTGATCAAAACCAGAATTCAATTGACTTTGAAAAGTACAATCAGTATTCAACCAGTCATTTTTGTGGAGGAAAAAACAGTTTTTCATCGACCTTTTTTGGGTATTTGTTACCTTCCACAATCTGAATAATTTTTATATTTTTCAGATTGTGGAAGGTAACAAATACCCAAAAAAGGTCGATAAAAATACAATCAGTAATATCAGGTACTCAAGTAAAACTAAGAAACATAAGGGATCCTATAAGTTTCAACCACAGAATAAGATTTTTTCAATCAGGCACAAGTGGTGTACCAACAGGATTCGATAGGCCTTGGTCGAAAGGAACTGAAGATTTCTGCCGCAGTAGTAGTTGATTTTTCAATTCAAGAATGAAAAATGTTATGATTAGTCTTAAAAAATGGATTTTCTTACTCTTATCACTAGATGAAGAAAGTCAATTGTGATCAAACAATACTTGTAAAAAAAAACTCACTGATAACTGACTGTTTATTTCGTTCTTACCATCTCCTTCAATTCACTTTCCAATCTATCGGTTACTCCAGTTTCTGCAAAAATTTTAAGTCCATCACTTGCAATAGTCGCTTCACTCCAAAATGAATGGTCAACTTGATGAGACGTGCCGATAATATCACTGAATTTGGTAGCCCATACATCAGATGGATATCCTCTTGGATGAGTGTTTCGAGTCCACCTGCCCTCGAAAGCTACCTGTTGGAATTAGTAATATTTGAAATTGCTAATAATCGAATAATGAATTCAACCATATGAATAAATTATTCGAGAGGAAGATTATATGAAATAAGACTATTAGTTATTGAATATTAAACCATCAAGTGATGTGCTTTCCAGACAACCTTTGAATTAAAAAATAGTTCACATGGAGAGGAGAAGTTCAAAAAAAGTGGATTCTTTCTCGCCCATTACCACCCCTCAAAATAACCTCGGCATCATCCTGGTGGGGTCTAACAAACCTCACGCAAAATGAAACTGACGGAATGAGTGCTAAAATTGCTTCCACGTATATTTGGTTGTCTATAGCTTCCCCAATAACACCGATATAAAGTTCTGCTCAACCTTTTAGTCGTACTGTAATGTTTAGAAAGGTTGAATGTCCTTGAACCGCTGTGTGATCTGTAAGACACTACCTGGGGTATGAAGTAACTTGTTTATGATTTGTAAATGTAAGTGTAATTTACCTTGTTTATAATTGGTGAATGTAAGTGTATTCAATGAATATAATGCATTTTTCTTCATCATAAATAACTACATATTTTTCAATCATGGCTACGAAAGATAGCAGCAGCGACTTTTGTAAATATGAGATGATGTTGAAACCGCCGAAGAAGATAATTTAGGCGAGTTAGAGACTACAGATACTGACTGGGATCATGTTGAGTTAAATTCTCAAATAAATGTTTCTGAAGAAGGATGATGAGCAACACTTCACACAAGAATTATTATAGATACTTCCACAGGGGGTGTTCAAGTGACATGGCACATTTGATTCTCTACCAAGAGCGGTACATATCAGAAATTTGCGACAGACTGTGGCTGCTCACCGTTTTGAGGTTCAACTGAGTACACCTCATGTTTCACTGTTTAAGAAGTCTCTCATTCGGAAAACTGCATTCATGTAGAATAAACTTCCTGAGTACGTTTCTCCAAATGAGTTTAATCTTCAGCGATTCAGATACAACGTGAATCGCTAATTTTGCTTATAACGCCTTGATAATGTTTCTGTAGTGCTTGTGTACTGTCTTTGAAAAAAAATTTAGGTGGAGATAAAGTGACGAAATGATACACTGTAGTACAAATCGAATAAGAACAAGACCTTAGAATATATTTACGGAATTATTTCAACCCCGTCATTTACGCGATACGTGAATTAAAAAGATCAAGTTCGAGTTGTAAAGTCTTTCCATAAGTTGTCTGTCCTATTACTATTTCTGAGATTTTATAATTGTGAAAACAGACCGTTGAGATTGCAAATAGATACACTTGCTCCCTTAAAGTCTGTTTTTGAGGAATTTTTTCTCAAATTGTCAAGAAGTGTACTCGTCTGGGCAAAACATGCCGTTAGATGATGACCTGAATTTTTTTCGTGGGCTATGTTTTTTTTGCACATACATTCCTCACAAGCCAGCCGAATATATTGTAAATATTGAAAAGCTTATTGATTCACGAACATTCTATAGTATAAATATCGAGACATACCCAGAGAGCAACAACCAGATGGTCCATATAAAAATATCAATAGCGCAGATGATACTGAAGACCAGGATGGTGGCGCCAATATCCTGAACGAACCGAAATGTGACATTCTCTAACTGGTACACCAGTTCAGAAGTAGTAAATGATTTACGTGGAAATCACAGAGTCACTTCTGTCTGCATCAAAGGGAAAAAGCTTTCAGAAATTATAAGTTTTTATTACTTATGATGCACTGTTTGGAACCTTTGGTGTGGTAATGAATATTACTGGAGTTTTTTGCCAACATCAAATCGTTATTTTCAACACCTTGACACGTGTTTCGATCACCAAGTGATCAACTTCAAAGGGGAAGATTAAAACTCAATCTAGATTATATATCAATATAACACCAAGAAGTATATTTCGGAAAGAGTCTTTTTTTAAAGAATTAGATTTCCCTTCAGTCAAATCTACAATTGAATTCAGGAAGCTATAACGAAATGAAATATATCATATTCTTGGGGAATGCGTAGAACCTCAAACACAAATATATAATGGAGGGAAAGGACGATGTCAAATGTGTCCAAGAAGTGGAGACAGGAAAATGAAATATTGTTGTAAAAGTCGCGATTTATTTGTATATTTGTATCATGCGACGAATTAGTGTGAAAAGTGTGTCGACTTCAATACGCTTTAAAATTGAAACTATTGACGGAAAGTCATGCAACGTGAAAATTATAGCTTTCATCAACCATTCACACTTCAGCATGCAACATATTTATTTCACTCAATTCAAAAGTTCATTCAAAACAATTTTACAAATCATTTTTTGAATTCGTACTATTTATCGGTCATCATCAAAATTGATGAATTTAAAATTGAAATTTTTTTTTCGAATTGCTGAAACAAAACCAGTGTTATGAAATGTATCATTCATTCATGAAAATCATGGAATGATTGTTCATGATTTCAGGTTTCCTTTCAAATCAAATCAAATCAAAATATGCTTTGTTACACAAGATCTGAATATCATATTGGCAAAGTCTAGTAAAGTAAAATGTATATATGAGACATCAAATTAACAAATATAAACTATAAAATAATGCTTGGAGACAAAAGCAGAGTATATGGACAGAACAATATTAACCCTAGCTGAACAGATACAAATATAAGTACATGAATATATGAATATAGAGTAAATGTAAATATATAATGCTACGTAATGAACATTTGTAGCCATTTCGTGTTGATTTCGATAACTTGTTTACACAAAGCTACATGCCAATTACTCGATATAGCCATGGTAGAATTCGTATACACTATAATAAAAGGAAATCTTTTACTTTCTTTCTGAATTTCTTTTCATTATATATTCGCCTTAAATCAATGGGAAGATGATTAAATAACTTCTTGCTATTGAAAATAGATGAATTTTGTGTAAGGGCTAGAGTAGGTGTTGGAAGGGAAATGAAGAGAGACTGACATGTACTATAAGTTGAGGTGGTATTAAATTGATTTTTATATTTTTTGTAGATAAGACACACTGTTTCCAAGATGAAAAGACATACTAAGGTCAGAATTTTTTGCTTCACAAATAATGGGCGGCATGAATCCCTTGCATACATATCTGATGTATCTTTTTTGTAGACAGAATTCCATATTGAAACGAAATTGTGCACAATTTCCCCAGAAACAAATTCCATAACGTAATAGTAGTGTCTGAACTCTCTTGCAACAACTATCACTGCATGACATCCTGCTGCTAGACTTTTACATACGTAGTCGACATAGAACTCAAATTTTATATTTTCATCAATACAGAGCCCAAATTTTTAATTTTTACATTTCTTGTATATATCTGTGAGTATAACTACTCACAGATATTGAACATATTGAACCTGAACACCTTAACTCATAGGAGACTTGAAACAGATCTTGTGTTTGTCCACAAAGTATTAAACGGCTATATTGATTCTCCAGAAATAGTTGAGCTTTGTACTACTTTCTCTGTGAATGATAGAAGAACCAGAAATAGTGATATTTTTAAAATTTCTTTTTGTAGAACCAATTATGGTCAGAATGAAACAATATGTAGGATATTGAAATCAGCAAATCATTACCATCTTAACCTGGAATTGTTTAATTCATCATTATTATCTTTCAAAAAATCGATTAAAAAACATCTGATGTATATTTAGTTTGTAAGCACATGTACAATTTATAAAAAGATATTTGTAAAAATTGGCTTGTCCGTTGAAATAAATAAATAAATATATTGACGATGTCAGATGAAATGCTCGTATGTGACAATGATCGAAATCTGTGATTCGGTAAAACATTAGGAAGAAATGCTCAATGAATACTTTATGTAAAGTAAAAGTAAGCTATTTGAGTATTATTTGACTGACAAAGTACGATATTTGGTTGATAGCTCTTCTTATCAAGAACACGTCAACCTCAGAGGGATTTCTGTAATGGTTGAGAAACGAAAGTTAAGTGTTTTACTTCAGTAACCAGTTCTTCTGTTTCTCGTCATTTCTAGTGGAAGCATTTTCTTATAGGAGGTGAATTATTTTAATCAATCAATTTCTGTATCAATATCAAAACAGGAATAATTTTTTGTATATCTACCGGTTTTCATTAAGCCACGAACAAATGAAGCCGTTTGGTATTTCCAAGGAGCGTGGGTTATCTAACCAACACAAGCATTTTTATCTGGTTTGGAATCCTCATGGTCTCGGAATGTTCTATTTTTGCTGCCGAACACTTTTGGATCAATAATTAAATTACTCCAACTCAACATATCACTTCACGAATTCAGGATATTTATAACATCACCAGAAAGCAGAACTTCTTTGATATCCAATCCTTCATACTACATTCACATACATGAAAAACCACACTTGCTGATAATATATATAAAAAGAGACTTATATGGTGAGGAATTTTTCTTCGAATAAGTTGTATATTCAACAAATGTTTCGAATATTATTCTTATATAGCCATGATGGAAGTCATATGAACTGGACAGTGATTATTTTGTAAGATCCTACTGCAGTTGCAGCGGCGACGACTTATTTAATTTGTTACATTATCGGCATCACATAAATTTTATAAAAAAACTTGGACTCCTTTCATATCTATCGTATTTTTATTTCAGTCTGAAGTTACTAATGAATAACTTTCTGGTCCATTCTATGCAGTGCTATTTTTTGTTTCAGCAAAGTTACATCAAGTGGCGCCCCATCCAATCAAAAATAAATGAATATAAATTTTAATTTTTCTAATACTCGTTTTTTTATGCTTCAATACACCTAGGTTACTATATAAAATGTATTCACCTGAATGATGCCAGGTTAGGATACCAATGAAACGGAAATATATGTCAATAGTTTGAATTTTTGAGTGCGTTTTGTTAAAATACTATCTGCTTCGATATATTTATTTATTTATTTCATACACTATTCTACAGGATGAACCCAATTACAGAATAGGGAGTGACAGTGGCATTTACAAATATGTACTTACATAATATAATTTGTGAATCTATATAAAAAAAATTAAAAACAGGACTGTCAGCTAGCCAATTAGCTACGAAATGTCGTTTGATTTGTATAATCTGGCAGTTGAATATATCTAGGACATGACTATCAGAATTAGAGGTATCGCACATTGTATAAATTGGAGTTTTTTTCATTATTTTGTACGCGGAGTGTTGAGATAAAATGTGACACTATTCCTAAAAATTATGAGTTACAAGCAATTCATAATAGGGTATTCCTACAGTAGGATACGTGCCTTTAAGTTAAAAAGCCATATATTTTAGGAATTTTAGGATTTATATGAACCTGATAGTAGGGACTCCACACTACAGATGCATATTCCAGCCTAGATCGAACAAAAGTGAAGTAAAGTAATTTCTATGTTAAAGCTTTTTCGAAATCTTTTGTATTTCTAACTAAGAATCCATACATGCGATAAGCTGCCGTTAAAGTAGTGTCAATAGGTTTGTTGAAAGAGAGGGATGAATCAAAAGTAACACCTAGATCAGTGAGTGTGTCAGGACGCTCCAGAACTTGATTTTTTATGACGTAGTTGTGTAAATTCAAGTTCGTTTTCAGTGAGTAAGGTATTACATTAAATATGGATATGTTGAGAGATAGAGTATTTTTCCGACACCACGTAGCAACGCGATTTAAATTCAGGGCGAGACGTTCGCAATCATTAGAACATGTTATATTGTGATAGAGTTTCAAGTCATCTGCGTATAAAAGGAAATTGACATCAATCTCAGCTCCGATATCATTAATGAACATATTGAACAGTAGGGGTCCTAGATTTGATCCTTGTGGTACACCAGATGTGGCTATATATTCGATAGACTTGAGGCCATTGAGTTGGACGCACTGCTTACGGTTGTAAAAATACGATTTGAAGAGGATAATCAATTCATTGGATATCAGATTTGATCAAAAACCATCTCTATGTTATATCCTGGATTGGGAAGACACACAGATAGCCGAAGCTGCATCTGTGGAAACGTTGCATCATGACTTCGATCCGGGGTTCAGAAACAAATGAAACTACAAAGTGCGACTATCCTTCATTGATACTCTGTACATTTGGGCTGTTTTCTGTTACCAATTGTTCTCTCCTAACACTTTGCAGCACAGTACTGATGACGCTCAATGAGCCAGAAGCGTGTACCTGCGAATTATATTTTTGAATATTTTGTCCGTGAATTCTATTTATTTCGTAATCTCAAAATAGCAGTTAATCAAGGTTAGTGACGTTGAAGAAATACTCTCTCTTATTTTGTCGGGTTTCCAAGTTTGCTTTAGCCAAATAAGTAATGTGACATTTTTGAGATAAAGGTTGTTTAGCTTGTAGAAATAAGGAATCAGTGATGCATCTGTTGCATCATCTTATCATGGAAACTAATCAAATATGTGCTGGAACTAATATAGTGAAAATCATACAATAAACTGTATTAATTAGTTTTAACACGGATTTTCATCGAGTATCTGCCAGTTCTATTTAAATATGTGCTGGACCAGCTCCAAAATAATCAAGCAGAAGAAAACTTTGATGTTTGAAAGGCCCTGATGTGAGTTATAAAGGAAAAGATATACCATCATAGTGTTCAAAACTGTTTGTTTTTTACGTCGGTCTACCGTAGACGTGAAATGGTTACCTACCGAAGTTTATGACGAAAGATTCTGATCTTACTCACGTTAAATCACAACTATCTATTTGCTGTCGGCATGATCAGCAAATGTTGATTCAGCTCAATCCATGCGGCTTAACAGGAATTGAAGTGTCAAATCATTTGGAACTACTCATTTTCATATCGAACATGATATTCAAAGTTATAAAAGAATAAATAATACACTATCGCATTACTGTATAGTTGTAGTGTTGTAAGTGTTTTTTTCTCCAAAAATGGGGTAAATGTTTTTGTATTATCTCGATCGAATTACTATTACACAATCTCTTCAATAATATATGTATCAGCTAGGTTTGATTTGCATAGAACTTTCTTATAGAATAAGATGTCATGAAAAGTAATACCTCGTACTTTGCTTCATCACAGGAACAACAAGAGGTGACAATAGGCGGTTTGAAGTCCTCATCAGTATTATCTTCACATAATTTTTTAGTAAGCTGTCCGTCTTCACTGAACCAATTATCTCGTGATTCAACCACTGTAGCCTTTATGTAAACACATCCACTATTTTCAGGAGGAGCTACCCAGTAAAGCTGAAATTTCCAGTTGTATCATTGAACACGTAACATTAAACATGGTTTGAAATGCATATATATATATATATATATATATATATAAATATATCTATATATATATATATATATATATATTTTAACATAACACAGACATTTATATACGAAGCAAGATCGCAGAGTTAATATACGGAGATTTTTGA